ACATTGAATCAAGCACCTCAGCTACCCGTTTCCAGCACTACAGAGACAGCCAACCTTGCGGCGTGTGCCTGAGGCAAACTCCACGCAAGATGTGGGGCCTTTGGCAGTCTGAGGCGGGCCTGGGTGGATGGGCACCTGCATTACCTGGCGCGTTCAACCCATTGCAGTGTGTTGTTAACGAGATGCTCATCAGCCTGCGCATGCCACGGGGTGTTTGTTTGGCGCAAGATGATGTGAGTCGTTTGTCAACCCACGATTCTGCCGTCTACAAGCAAGCAGAAGATGGACCGGATGATCCAAACAACACACTCATGGCATATGCGTGCTTAATGCCCCAAATTTAGCCTTGAGTGCATGCGACATGGATCGGCTCTAGTAGTCTCCAACACAGCCAAGGATCCGGGTCCGTTTCAGAAAAGGGCGGCGAGGGCTGTCCGGCTTTGCTTTGCACGAGTGGGTTCTGAAGCTGAAGTCACACTTGCTGGACGAGAAGCTACCGTATACTACCGTCTTGGTACATCTTGGTTGAGGTTGCCACCATGTTCTGGATAAATCTTACTGTCTTGATGGGGCGTTGAAAGACTGTTATGCCTAGAGAACGACATGTGTTGCTCCCGCACAGTGAGTTTGATGCACCGAGTCTGTCAAGTCACGTGCAAATGTTGCATGGGATGGTCGATCCCATACCCTATGGCCAGTTGAACCAAGTCAGACATCCAATTCCAATTGGCCTCTCCGCCCCATCCGCAGGTGGACTGGGGCTTCCGCTCAGAGCCCCAGGAGTCTCTGTTGCCCAAGGGCCGGAGGGTGGACATGGAGCGGGGGAAGACGCTGGGAGGCTGCTCCGCCATCAACTACAACATGCGCCTCGGTTCAACGTTGCAGTTCTTCGTTGGCAAGTGGGGTACTTCAGTCTCCTTTAAGAGCCTAAAGCCTTAGTCTTTCTCGTTGAAGTAGTGGTTGGCCCCGGAGTGCATCAGCTGGCTGTGGCTCAGAGCCATCAGCTTCCAACCTTCATTTCAGAGTATTGTCATGCAACAGTTTGCTGCACATGGGCTTTGCGGCTTTGAGCCCCCCAGTGGTGCCCTCGCAGTCGTAGTTGTCGTCGCTTGCAGGTGGGTCCGTGGTGCTCCGGAGGATTTCGACCGCTGGGAGAAGGAGTGCGGCTGTGAGGGCTGGGGCCGCTTGCTGCGAAAAGGAAGCGCGGGGAAGGCCAACATCCTGTCCAGTGCCGTTTCCCTTTGCTGCATTTGCCCAACAAGGGTGCTGTTACGCAGAGAATTTCGGCATACTGTGTTTGCTGGAGGATTCGACTGTGAATTGAACGGGGTGTTGTAGCAGGGTTTCTGTTTCAAGATGCTGTTGCGGGTGCTGTTGCGCAGGTGCTGTCGGAGGGTGTTTTGACAAGGTCCTGCTGAGTGTGATGTTGGAGGGTGCCGGGCCGGGGGTGTGACAAAACATGTTTGGCAGGGTGCTGCTGTTGCATGGTGCTGTTGCTGCAGGATCCTGCTGCGCAGAGTTCCAGGGTGTTGCAGAGCAGGGTGCTGACGCAGCGCTCAAGATTGTTTCTGTGCTTGTTGGCGTTCCACTACCCCTCATGGTTGTCGGCGTGTCAATCACCTGTGGTTTTGACGCAAGTGTATTTTGTTCATTGGGCAGGGTGTTCCCATTGCTGTTTCGCAACTAGGATGTTACTTGTACTCAGTTCTGGAAGCACAAGCCTGCTAAATCGGAGACATGGTCACAGTCTCTGTGAAGTTCATGTGTGAAGCTACTGGTACATCTCCAACAGTGTGACGATCGAGCCAGGGTCATGGAGTTGTCCCCATTGCCCTTTGAAGGCACATTTAATAATTTGTTGTTTGCTAGCATGGGGCTCACGCACGGTCCGAGCTGCGCCTGTGTCGTGTTTGCTGTGGCTCGAGGCTTTGCAGATGTCCTTCCACACTTCAAGGCCATCGAGCGGATGGAGAGCAGTCATGACAAGGCCTACGAATCGAAGCTCGGACATGTGCGTTTTCTCCAGGGCATCATCACGAAAACAGTCACGCACCTTCCGCGCCCATGCCCTGAATATACAACCCTGACAATGGGCCGATGTGTGGGTTTATGCAATTGTCTCCTGCCCCCATTTACAGGGATATTATTGTTATACCTACAGCCACTGAACAGTGACGTTGTCCTCACTGCAGCCCAAAAGCATGGAGACATGCAGAGTCTTGAGCCCTGCAACGTTTCAAGTTGTGCGGTCCAAAGCATCGTGCCATGTTTGGATCCAAGCTTTAAGCAGTTTGTTGAGAGCGTTAAGAACCCCAATTGCTAGAGCTAGCGGTCCCCAATGGTCGCAACATGTCGCAACTGCCTCTGGGGTCCCCAATGGCAGTTTCAAAGGTCCAACGTCCAATCCTCGACCTCGGCTGAGGAAGTATCGCGGGGACCAGGGCCCGGTGTCTGTGGCCACCCTGCATCCACCCATGCCGGAGGTGGCCGACTTCCTAAGGCGAGCAAGCGGGCATCTTGGGAGCGCGGCGCAGATTGCTGTTCAGGTGTTTCGCGTGGATGTTAATCATGTTGAATGCAAACAGGGCATGTTCTATTGAATGCAAATTGCTGATCTCTGCAGATGTCCTGCCAAAGCCCTAGGGACCTTTCCTGGTTGTCAGTGCTGGGGATAGTTTGGACTTTTCAATGTGATTCGACTTGTTGTGAAACCAATCAAAGAGCGAAGTTTTGAATCAGTGTTTTTGCTTTTACATCCATGTTATGTGGTTCATGCAATTGTTTGTTTGTCTATGGCTCGCGCAGAAGATGAATGGTTTCATATGGAGTAATTGTTGGTACCTTTCAGTTGCATGCGAATTCTCGCCTGCTTTGATTTGCCTTTGGACGGAAAGACACGCACGTCTTGCCATGCTACGCTTGCCTTCTTTGCTGAGATGCTTGCCTTCTTCGCAGAAAGGTTGTAATGTGCCCGCGCATTGGCTTGCGATTGCTTTGTGTGTTTTGTTCACGTGTTGTTTCTTCATATGGCAAAACGGCCGAATGGCCGTTTGGCTCAAGTTTAAACCTCCCGTCAGGGGTCTCTCGGATTTGCGTGCATCCGCCATAGCACGGCGGCTTGCGTCACCATCGGGAAAAGGTCCTGGTGCTGCCGCGGCTGGTGTTAGGTGGTGGGTGGCTGGTCGTCGAGGACTTCCTGGGCCTGGTTCTGAACTTCAATTTCTGTTGTAACCTGTTTTCCAACCCTCCCAAACTTGATCTTCTTCAGCTGTCACTCCCTCAACCTGGTCATCAGCAACTTCACCATTGTGCGTTGGGACTGGGTTCTTTATGGACGACGAGGCCAACGCCCTTCGCGGCAACGCCGCACCTGCTGCCCCCGGCTTAGACAGCCGGCTGTGGCCTATTCCCCCGATGGTGGGCGCAGAGCCCAATCCCGGGGTGATCACGGACGATTGGATCCTTTCTCAGGTCGTGTTTGATGAGGATGCGGAGGCCCCTATCCCGGCAGCAGTGCTTCAGATCGAGGACGGGCCCCCTCTAGAAGAGGCTGAGGTTCCTCCAAATCAGGTGCCCTCGTCGATTTCGCCTACTGTTCCATTCGTGGCGCTCCAGATCGAGGACCGGGCTGTCCATCGTGCTGCTCATCCGGAGCCGGCTCAATCATGGTCCCTTACATGGGATCAGTTTGACCAGCTCCTCGGCAGTGGATCGCAGGCTACACCGCCTGATTTCGGTCGGCTCGACTTTAACTCGGGTGCCCCCGTTTCGGTTGGGAATCTGGATTTTCAATCCCTTTTTGATGCTGATTGGAGGTCTCAGCCTTCCCAAATTGACAGATCTTTTGATGCCCTGCCTACGCATGAGCCTACTCAGGGTTTTCCTCATGATGGTGAAAATGACCCCATCGAGGACTTCTCCCCTTCCCATGTTGCAGGTTCGGCCCAACCCGAGGTGGGCAAACGGGCGATTGAGGATTGGCCGCAAATAGCTGGCCTTCCTCCCGTCTCAGGTTCATCCGACACTGACATCATTCACGATCACCCCAGTCCGGCGGATATGGACTTCATCCCTGATGCAGTATCATCTCACCTGTCAGGTACCCGCGACCGGAATGAGGACCGCTACAACGCTGGTCCGAATCCACCGCTTTCCTCAGGTACTCGAGGTCGGGATGCGAACCGCTACAACGCGGGTTCAAATCCGCCAAATCGGACATCAGGTACTAACCGATCGGACGCGGGCCGCGAAACAGCAGGCCCAAATCCTTCCTCCACTTCATCAAGAAGCCATGCCGGTCTCTTCGCTGCGTTCAATCGGCGTCAGACTCGAAAAGAGTCCGCCCCCGACGTCATCGACCTCGAGGAGCAGTCCAGCCACCGTACCAGCGATGGATCCGAGCAGGATACACCTGGTGTTGGCTCTACTCCCTTCGACCTCCTCGACATTCCCTTCCATCAACCACCCAGGAGAGGAAATGAAGATGATGAAACCATTCCTGGGATCCTTGATGTAATCGATGAGGCCGAGGTCACACCAGAGAGACGAACGACATCGCTCCCGCCGAGCCGCGTTGCCAAAGTTCTTTCCCCTAAGCCACTCAATGGTGACGTTGCTCAACGGCTTGATCTCACTCAACCTGATCCAGATCAAGCTCAACTTCGCGGATCATCATCATTTGATAATGTGTCGGGACAAACCGGCACTGACTCACGAGCTACAAAGAGGAGCTCTGAGTCACCCGAGAGACGTGAAGCTGCTCTGCGATTGCGATCTAATCCCCCCGCTCATCACGACCCTATTGACGTTCCTATCCACTCTGCGGGGTCTGGGCTCAGCTCCAATGCCCCGATGTCTGAGAAGGAGACTGATGACGGGATTAACTCTACGCCCAGGAACCGAAGACCTGGACTTAGCACTATTGCCCCTGGATATGGAGGGCTTCCTTCAAATCAGCCGGTCAACGACTCCCTCGTCCCCGCATTCTTCCAAATCGGAACTCCGGGCTGCACTCCCGACAGGGAAGAGAATAGGCGCGGAGATCATGACGCTGATAGTCGTCCTGCTCCGTCTGCTTCCACGAGTGGCGGCCATCCTGTTGCATCTGAGCTTCAACGACTGCTTCTCGCGATCCACAACGAGGTCAAGGGATGCAAGGCCGAAATCCAGGGATGCAGAACTGAGATTCGATCATGTAGGGATGATATCAACGCTTGCATCGGTGAGATCAAGAAGATCAATAACCGTGTTGACGACTTCGAGAAGAAGGTTGAATCATCTTTCTCTGCCGTTGCCGGAACTCTCTCAAAACACGAGGCCAAGTTCCGTGATTTCCACGAGTGGGTCGCCCGAAGCGAAAAGGAGATGAATGAACGTTTCAAGATGTATGATGAGAGATCTGACTCGGTCGTCATATCCGCTGCTGAACTTCGAGAGCAGGCCGAATCACTTGAGAACGTCAAGGTCCAGCTCCTTAGATTCTCTGAGATCGGGGCCCTTGAGGCCGAGATTCGGAAAATCAAGGACGAAGTCGAGGCAAACTCTCGCAGTGTCATCGAAATCGAAGGAACCATCTCAAGGGAAAGAACCATCCGTGGGAACGTCGAGACGTATATCCAGCATCTCGTTCCTGCGACCGACCTAAAGCAGTTCAGTGATAGGGTGTCTGGAGCCCTCAATGAGAACTCAAAGAAGCAGGAAGAACTCTTGTGCCGTGTTGCTAAATGTGTCAAGGATCTTCATGACAGGAGATTAGACCCCAATCCGAGGGACATGCAAGAGCAGTTCATGAAGCTTGTGCTGAGGGTAAATGAGATCAACATGCAGATCGCCGAATTGAAGGAACAACCTCCCGCTGCCTACGGATCTTCGAGTGCTGGCGCTGTTTCGACCGCCGGAACGGGATCATGGGAGAAATCTGACACTGATCCCTTAACCCAGGGAAGGACTCCTAAAGGTTCTCCTCCTCGTGATGCCCGCACAGTCAGCTCGGCGAGGCCTCCTCCACCTCCGCCTCCTTCGGGGCCACCCCCACCATCACCATCAGCCCCCATTTTCGGCAGGGATCCCTCTAGAACGAGGTTCATTGCTCGGGCTGCCGGCGCTGCCCCTGATAACCGGGCCAGGTGTGCTCATGAGGAGCCCGGTCATCCACAACATCGCGAACCTCGCTATCCATGCCGGAGTTGCGGCAAGTCAGTCTGTGAAGACTGCTTTGACCATGATTGTAACTCGTGTCTCAAATGCAGCGATCAATTCCCTAGGTGCCGCGCATGCAGGGGGAGAGGGGGGAGACACGGGCTTGCGAGGTGTCTCATATGCAAGGACGAGTATTGCGATCAGCACATCGCTTCACCTGACGATGTGCGTCGTTTCGGGTCGAATGTTCGGCCTATCTGCCTCGGTTGTCTGAGAGCTGATCCTGATGGGAAAACTAAGCATCGCGGTCCCAGCGCGGGGCCTGGAGGACCTGATTTCATCCCTGACCATAGTCAGCGTGGTGGCGCTGCTCCTGATCCTGGATCCGGGCCATCACGTGGGGATCCATCACATCGGAGTCCTGAACCGCATCAAGGGAACTCCGGATTCTGTTCCCACGCCGGAGCTGCCGGGCCAATGCCACCGAGGTCAATGTCTTCGCCCGTGGTCGGACGAGCAGCTCCGAGGGGGACTATAAACACGTACCCCGGATGTTCCCCTACAGGGAGGATTTTCACCGGTCAGGCTGAGCATGGGACATCTCAGGGAGTCATTCGCGGGAGATACGGACCTGACGCCGCTGTGACAAATCAGCAGAATCCACAGCCTCACCACGGAGCACAGGATAACTCTGGCGGTTCGACTGGTTTCTCTCTTCCACCAGGACTCGGTAAGGGTGTGCATGGCGTCAGTGGTGTCGGCGGTATTGGAGCTCCCGATCTTCGCCGATCCTCCGCTGAGGAGAGGGTCTGCCCTCGATGTAATATAAATGTCAAGACCAGCATTCCCGGGACGCCTCCATGCTTCCAAACTTGTTCGTTATGCCGCACTTCTCTGTGTGCCGCGTGTTGCCCGCCATCATCCGGGAGTTGCTCTCTCTGTGCCATATCCATTGGCAGAGACGGCGTTTTACCCCCCCATATTTTTGGACAGGCTACTCGACCGCCCCTAACTTCGTTGCCATCTGAGGCGAACAAGTGCGCCAACATAGAGCTCGAAAAAGAGCCTGCACCGCATGAGTTGCGAGACTGGATCATTTCCACGAGAGAAATCGTGAGCAATGCATTCAGCTACGACTCGCCATATGCCATGTCTTGGGTCATGAGTGTCGAGAACGCCAGCGCAATAGAGGAACTTGATGAGGAGTGCCTCTACCCGATCCTTGACAATAGGTTCAACGGTGCACTGAGAAAGTGCATCACATCGAAACCTATAGTTGCCAAGATCAGCAGGCTGACTGAAGAAGCTCAGGTAAAAAGGGGGACGAGGCTGAAAAGCCGCCAGATTCTGTTCTGTCTCATT